ATTTCAGAGTAGCTCTTCAGTTATCTTTCCCCTCAACTTTTCTAAAAAAAAAAAAAAAAAAAAAAAAAAAAAAAAAAAGGGAGAGGGGGGAAAAGTCATATTTAACTTCTTCTGTTTAAAGGCCTTATATTGCACGCCAACTGTGGGGTATTGGAAGTGAAGACTAGTGTGGGTCTTTGTTCCCAGTTTTCCAATTTATTGGCCGAGAGGCCATCTCCCAACCTCATTTTGTACATTTGTAAACTGGGAGCAAATAAATCCCACTGAACGTGTTGCTGTCGAGTTTAAGGACAGTGTGTGGCAGTGCGTGGCGCCCGGGAAATGCTGGGTGAACGGCCCGCCTGGGTTCTTTTGTATCTTACTCCCCGCCTTATCTTGAGTGAAGACCTATTCGACTGGGTCTCTTAATGCCGGTCAATTCGCCCCTCGATCGCTGTGCCTTAAGTGCTGTGGTGACGGGGATGCCAACGTCTCGGGGCCCAGGTACCCGGAAGGGGCTGCAACCCGCCGGTTTACCCCATCGCAGCGCCAGTCGGGGGCTTGACGCTCGCGCCACCCCACCCACCCAGGAAGCCAGGCCCCCAGGTTCGCGTGGAGGCTGCACAAAGCGCTTCTCTCTCTACAGATCACCTGCCTCCCAACACACACAGCTCCGGGGCAGCCGTTCCCTGCGCTGGCGCGGGCCCAGTTCCGACGCCGGCTCTCCAAATGTCCAAACGCGGGCTGTTTGGAAAATTTGTTCTCTTGACCTTTCTGCTTCTTTGCCTCAGCACGGGCTCCCTCCCTCTCTGCGCCTGGAATAAGGAAATGGGAAGGAAGGGTGTTTCAGAGCGGGGATACTGAAGGGAGAGGGAGCAACCCAGAGAGGAGGAAGTAAAAGAGGAGAGAGGGGAGGAAGAGCTTTCTGGAGTTGCCAAGTGCTAGCGCAGAGCCAAACTCAGCTCCTTCAGTCCATTTTGGGTAAACTCATTGCAGTGACCTGACTGGCCTGGGTGCAAGCAATCTTATGTGTCTATAAAACGTTCTTCCATGCCTCAGCATTTCTGCAGCTGTTCCTGCTCCAATCCCCTTCATTATGTAAAAACAAATCAAGAAGCGAATCTAACTTCTTACCAAATTGTCCTGAAAGAGAATTGTTCGGCCTGGATGGTGGAGTCCTGAAATATTTGTGGTGCATTTGCGAATACAGTAGTATCTTTTCTCCCTCCCTCTCTAGGGAATTCTTATTTATGGAGCATACAAGTCCAGTTTCTGCAAGAAAAATACTGACGATGAAATTTGGAGTGGGAGTTAGTGGAGTTGGATGTTTTTTAAAAAATCATTCCACGAAGAATTGTGAGCTAAATATTCAACAGGGTTCTGAGATGGAGAGCAAATCCATTTATTTCTATTCCGGCAAATAAAAAGCAAAGGTTCCAACTAAAACAAACAAACAAATTGGAAAAATCACTAAGAGAGGCTTACTTGTCTATTTACAAAACCCAGACTGATTGTCCCTATGGATCGAATTCCCTGGGTACTAGCCAGGCTCTGTTCTTCGGGCTGCATAGACCCAGGCGCCTCAGTGAGTGTCTGGTGGGTGTGGGTGAAGGTCAGGTTGTAAGGGGGGGTGTTTTCACACCTCTGATTTCACCCCAGTGTCCTGCCTGATGAGAACGAGGCTTGGTGAACAATTTTCTAAGAAAAATTTCCAAACCTCTGACCCGGAGGAGAGATGCGGCGCCCAGGAGACTGGACCAAACGATATTGGGGGAAACGGGCTTTAAAACCGATCCGGAGGAAATTGAACATATCGCACTGAGGTGCGGATGTGAAACGTGAACGGAAAGAAAACCGGAGAGTTCCTTGGGAAGAGTGAACAAAGGAGGGGACAGGGTAAAAGACGAAACACCACCCCCACCTCAATTTTGTGTAAATAGAAGGTCGTGGAGTATTTTGATAATGGTCATTTTAGATTTTTCTCGACCCTGGCCAGGGGCAGAACGAAGCTCGCGGGTGGGAGCCGGGGATGCGCGCGCGGGCTCCGCACCCCCGCAGGGCCGGGCTTCCCCGGGGCCGCAGCTGCGCCAGCCGGGCCCCCGCGCGGCTCAGGGCGGGATTTCTGTGGCGTGCTCTAAAAGGAGGTTTGCTGGGGGTAGCCGGCGGCTACAGAGACGGGAGTGACCCTCCAGGAGCAGCCGCTCACTTCATCACCAACCAGTGCTCCTTCTGTGCGGGTGGCCAACTCTGCGTCCATCCTCCTCCAAACCTACACAAACCTAATTAAACCCAACTCATTTGGCAGAGACGCTCCCTGCTCTCCCCAAAGGTCGAAGTGCCGCCTCGTTTGGGCCCAAGGCGGCTTCCCCCTACTCCCTGTTCCTTCAGCCCTCCTTCCCGCTCTAGCCCAGGAACTTCGTTCCCGCCCAGAGGGAACTTGGACGCCCGCGGCTCGCAGCGGGTGGGCCCCCGGCAGCGCCGCGGCTGTTTGCCGGGAGCGCCCTAACCAGAGCGGGGAGGGCGCCCCTAGCGCAGCCGTCTTGGAGGGGTGCGGTGCAGCTCCCGCCTCCTCCCACGTCAAAGTTTCGGGGTCTCGGCTCTCCCAAACTACCTCCCTGCGGGGCACCACGGCCCCAGAACTTGTCTTTGGGAGGTGGGGTGGGGGCGCCCGCGCTGCGCTGCCGTCTGGTTTGGGGCGGGCAGCAGGGAGCCCGGAGAAAGGACCAATTCATTCGCTTCCTGAGGGGCATAATTTGGGTGGCAGCTGTTGCGGGAGAGAAGAGCCAGCGTCCTCGACCGGGGATCTGCCCTTTAACCCCAGCTACCCCGGACCTGAGGGGCAGGCTGTCTGGCCAGGCTCGGGCCCACTGCTGCCTTGCCGTCCCTCGGACTGCGCTCAGCACCTCTCTTGGGCAGCGTGGAGGTGCAGCAGATCAGAGGCCCCTTGAAAAACATCGCCGGGCTCATCAACACATCTTGAGGGGCTCAAGGGCTGTTCCACACTCTCCGCTGCCACCCGAGGCATCGGCTCCGCTGGGCACGGACCGCAGATGAGAATGGGGCTGGGTGGTTTAGGTTCAGAGAGATTTTATGAAGAGAGGGGGCCGGGGTAGGAGACTCCTAGAGTTTAGTGTTTGCAGGGACCGAAATTATCCATAAAGCCTGCATACAATAGAGAATTGCCAGGTTTAAACAGGGTAGAAGTTTCAATCCTACAGATTTCTCTCCACCGTCCTTTCTATGGACAACTCCTATTTTGGTTTTTACAACAGTCCTGTGCCATACCCCGGCGCCCAGTCTTTCTTCATTGCTCCCTTTTGTCCAACAGGACCAAGCCGGAACCCTGGGGTCGCAGTGCCACAATCAGCACAACCCGGGGGCGGGGGTTTCACGTTCTCCGCCCCCTGAATCAACTACCCCAATCCCTTGACCCTGGGTTTGTGCATAAAGGGTTCGCTAACCTCCCCCACCCCCTCCTCATTGGTTTTCAAGTGAGTATCTGTAGCAGAGACCTGCGCATCCTGAGCGCGATCCGCTGGCGCAGTCTAGGGTCTCGGTTTGCCCCTGGAGTAGAGTAGAGGCGCAGACCGGTCCCTCGCTCAAGAGAGCTGCATTTTCTGAAAAGTGCGAGCTTCCAGTCGGCTCTGGCAAACGAGTTGCAAGGCGCTGTGTCCTCTAGCGGCAAACTCTCGCAGTTCATTTCTGAGCGCTCACCTACACCTAAGGGATCTGGTCGAGAGTCAACTGACGCTCAAATTTGAGTCCTAAATGGGGGGAAAGTCTCCTGAATGCAATCCAGGCTTTAGCGAAGGCCCTCTCAGTAATGAAGCCGGGAGGCTCGGGCGCAGTCGCTCGAACTGTGGAACAGCTGATTTGTCTCCTCTACGGCAGATGGTCTTTGAGCACAGATTTGCATTCATTGTCTTCAAATCTGTTTTCGCGCTGGTGTTCTAGATTTCAGCAGCAGATCTATGCGCAGATCAGAATACAAAAGGAGAAGCAAGAAAATAACACCCAGCCGGGAGGATTTTTAATAGGCACCGTGAGCTGCCCGGCGTGGTTAAAAAGCCGTCTAGGGTTTCAGCTGTTTGGCTGAGCTGCCGCCGCCTCCCGGCCACCAGCCCGCGGGCAGCAACGCGGCGACCGCACGCCCGTGGGCAAAGTTTCCGCGACTTCCCCACTGCCTCCCTGCAGCTCCTCTGCTGGCTCCCCCCGGGCTTCGGGAACTGGAGTGGGGTGGAATGGGGGGACTCCCGGGACAACGCCGGGAAGCTCTCGCGCTCAGCGAACCGCGATCTGTCAGCAAGCTCTCATCTGCACGGGTGCGACTCCCGCTCACGTCTGCCCGGGGTATTTTCCTTAGCTCCTTGACCGTTTTCCGTGACACTCTATTTATTTGAATAGCACTTGAGCCTTGCTCGTCCCCCACCCTGCTGCTTTCATTCATATATCCTCCTCTCTCAACAACTTGTAAACCGCACACAAAATCTGAGTGTCACCACGAGACTCCAGGAGACTTGGGGAGAGCCATTCTGGGAACTGGGTTACTCTGGGGAACGTTTGCACAAAACATAAGTACATGTGGTCACACTCTCCACTTCTTCACAAACATGCACAAAGATTCAAGCCCGGAGAATGAGAATGAATATGCCTCCCCGCAGGCTACAAAAATTTGCATCTAGTGGCAAGATCCACGGAGTCTTCCTGCTCCCGCGGCCAGACTAAGCGGGGACATCCCAACCTGCAGGGGCTGACTACTTGGCTTCAGTGCAAGATTTGGGGGCCTCAGCCCACGCACGCACACGGGGTTCGGGCGAGGACGCAGCGTCCACGGCTTTCTGTCCCCTTTCACCTCCCGGACTCCCAGCAACGCCGAGCGTAGCGCGCGCCGCCGGAGGACGTCGGCCCGGCCTGCCCAGCGCCGGCCAATCCCGAGCGTCCATGCAAATGAGGCTCCTTATCGGGTCGCGGCTCCGCCTCCCGCGGCCGCGGCTGTAGTAACCCATTCATGGGGCCCGCGCGCGGCTGCAGCCCGGCTCCGCGGTGCTCCCAGCCACCGCCTCCTCTCGGCTCCGGGTCTTCCCCTTCCTTTTACAACTGATCCAGTTGGGGATTTTTTTTTTTTCTAAATTCGAGCAGTGGGGAGGAGCAGGGAGGGGGGACCAGGAGGAAGGGGAGAGATTAGGCAGCCATCAATCTCCTCCTGTTTCTCCCAGAACAGGTGATGCTTCTAAATTGTGATCACTTTCTGGAGGCAGCGCTGCCGCTGGAAGGATGCGAGCGACCTAGGACGGAGGCCCTGAGGCGGCAGATCTGAACTTGCGGAGGATAAATAGCAAACTTTAACTACATCAGTCCGCACCTCACGCGCGAAGCAAAGGACGGGTTATCTCTTTTTACACCCCCCCCCCCCACAACGAGAGACTCAAACTTCGGCTCTTGATCCCTTTTCTTGGATTGCTTTGGAGGAGACGGTTTGGTGACAGCATTGGGAACAGTAGGGACAGTGTTGTAACTCGTATTTTTAAAGCGACAGTAGACCAGACTTTTTAAATGTTTGGGATTCAAGATACTTTAGGAAGAGGACCAGCTCTGAAAGAGAAATCACTGGGTGCCGAGATGGATTCGGTCAGGTCCTGGGTCCGGAATGTCGGCGTGGTGGACGCCAATGTCGCGGCGCAGAGGTAACGATACGGCCTCACAGTTATTACGGTCTTAAATGCTTTTCTTCGTTCCCTTTCTCGCTCTCACCGTCTGTCTGTCTGTGTGTCTCCTCCCTCTCCCCCCATCTGTCGCCCTGGCCCCGCGCGCTGGAGCTCGACCTAGGGCAGGCAGGTCGCTGCAGTCAGGGGGACACTTACCCCGCAGCCGACACTCGAGTTTCCGAACTGCCTGGTCGTTTGTGTTTCTCCCCCACTCCTTCCCCACAGACCACTCTTTGGGAAGAAAAATAACAAAGTGGCATCCAACGCTTTGCAGCTCAGCCCTTGGTCCTGCGATGCGGGCCCGGCCGGGATCGGAGCGCGAGGACCGGAGCTGGCAGCGGCGACCGCTGGAGAGCCGGCTTCCCGGCGCCTCCCGGGTTTCGCCACGCCGCTTGCAAGCGCCTCTCCTCCCGCATCTTGCCGGGTGATTCCCGAAGGCCGGAAGCCCCGCGGCCAGATGGCGGCGGCGACGCGAGGAGTGGGAGAGGCCGGAGCCGCTGCTGGGAAGGCAAAGAGGCCGGGAGCTCCGGGGCGTGGGGGGTGGGGGGGCAGGCTGGAGGGTCCAGGCGCAGAGATAAAACAGTGGACCAGACGCACGGAAGAGCGGGTGAGGGAAGAGAAGGGATTAAAAAGAGAAGACGAAGGAATAGCAGTAGAAAGAGCCGCAGAAGAAGAAGAAAGGCGAGGAGAGGAGACGGGCCGCAAACGCGGGGATCAGCAGCCTTTAGTTTTGCTAGTTACTGAAGTTGACTTTGTTTCTAAGCGTCCGCGTGCTAAGATAGTAAACGCCTTGTCTAGGGTGCCACCCCACGAAGGCATTCTGGTCCCTTTCCCTCATCACCACTGCTGAGCTGGGATTTGTGGTCTCCGCGTCCTTGCTTTCGAAAGACAGCCTCCCTCCCACAAACCCCAAAGAGCCCACGAACTTCTTCCCACGACTCCTATCCGCTCTCCTAGCCATCTCCCTCTAAGTCCTGACATCACGCAGAGAAATGCCTCCTTTCCCAGACAGGCCGCGTCTCCAGGTGTCCCGGGTAGAGCGAACCAGCCGCCACCCTTGGAGGAGAGGAGACCCGGGCGGCCCGCGGCTCCCTCCCTTCTGCCGGAGCCCAGGGCGCGCCGATACCTCCGGCAGACAGCACGAGGCAGAGGCGGCTTTCCGCCGCGGTCTGGGGTCTCGCAGGGCTCAGGCGGAGGGAAATCAGGCGGCTTCACAGAGCCGGCTCCAAGGTGCATTTCCTTAGCCAAGCACCTTAAAGATACCTCCCCTACTTTCCTCCTCTACCCGGATCAAATCATTGTTAAACTTGGAATAGGCAGCCCGAGGGGGGACTCTAGCCAAAATTTTACGCCATTCAAAAGACTGAAAGTGCTCACACCCGGGGGTACGAGGCCCGGAGATCCCAGCGCCGCGGGGCAGCACTGGCCATCTGCGCGCTCCCCTGGGCCCTGGGACTTCTGTTAAATGTGATCTGGCGGTTAGTTTGTCCCCGGCTGCGACAGGTCTGCAAGGATGTGTGTGCACACACTCAAAACGCTCAGGGGCGCCCCCCGGGCCCTCCAACAGGGGTTTCGCGGTCAGCGGGTTTGGCTGGCGCCGCCGAGAGATGCAGCTTAAGCGGGGATCCCCCTGGCCCCAGGCGAGGACGCTCTCTGCCTCTTAATAACATTTTGCCTTCTCCAAGCGCAGCAGTTCTGGGGCAATGTCCCCAGTATCCCGCTGTCCGCAGTGGCCCACGATCCTTGGTCCCGGGGATTCCACTCTGCCACTCTCCGGGGCGCAACTTTTCGGAAGAGCGAGGGAAGCGGGAGGAGAGGCCTCTCCCGGTAGGACGGAGGCTTGGGCTCTGGGTTTCCCGCCGCTCCCAGGGGGTTCCCCACCCACCAACTTTTGGAGAGAGCAAGGAGTGCGTAATGGGCAGTAGCAATAGGTCAGGTAACGCCAATGAAGATGAAGGAAATGGGTCACTTCTTCAAAAGTAAGGAGGATTTATTGCCCTAACCCAGGGGCCTAGTTCCCAATCCTGACCCAGCTGGCGGCTCCACTTGAGGGTGAAGATAGGGGCGGCCCTATGGAATGAGACTTGGGCTGCCTCCTTCGGGACTGCTTTGGGCCTTGGTCCGCAGCTGGCATCCTTTGGTCTCCACTAAAGGCCAGACTGTGAGCTGCTGGGCCCTGGGATGCCCAGAGGCTGGAACAGCGGGCGGTGGCAGTGGACAGGGGCGTTGGCCCTGTCAGCCAACCCCTGTGGCCACTGCAACTACTCGAAAGAGTCCCCCCCCCTTCTTAAACTGAATTGCAAAAAGGTCTGAGGGGCCCAGAACTCTGGACCTGGGATGGGGACCCTTGCCCCCGCCCCCGTGCGGTATTTGCGTGGGCATGTTGGTAACATGGTGTCTTTCTCTCCTTCCCTCTGTCCGGTGTCCTCCATGTCTTTTCCTGTGCAGCGGAGTTGCCCTGTCCCGGGCCCACTTTGAGAAGCAGCCTCCTTCCAACTTGAGGAAATCCAACTTCTTTCACTTCGTGCTGGCGCTCTATGACAGGCAGGGGCAGCCAGTGGAGATTGAGCGCACAGCCTTTGTTGATTTTGTGGAGAACGACAAAGTAAGTGGAGGTCCCCTTTTCCTCACGGCCTAATAACTACCTCCTTGCAAAGCACTAAAGATTCCATCTGTCACTCGCAACACTTTTCCACTCACATCATCAGGAATGATAAATCGAGGCTTCTCACCCCAGCCTCTGAATCAGTTGATTTCCCGGCACCTCCTCGCTGCGGGGGTGCTGGTGGCTCTGCGAACCCAGACTCTGGGGTCATTAGCAGAGCCTGGTCATGGACTGACCATGGAGCAAATGCCCTTCAGACAGAGCATGCCCTTCTCCGGGTTATTTTTTGTTATTTTGCACCTGCCAGCGCCGGCAGAGTGGATACCCAGAGCCGAGTCTTGGCCCACCTTCCCCGTTGAGACTCTTCTCCCACTCTCGCTCCCCAGTGCAGTGTCCACTCTGACCCCAGCTCAGGTTTGGGGGCTGGATTCCATCTCAGATGAAATGGACATGTGATGAGAGGAAAGTCTCTTGCCCTCTCTGGGCCTGCGAGCTTCAGGGCTGGAGCTTCCTGAGGTCCCCCTAGAATCTGGGCCTGGGTCCCTGAGCTTGTGACCCCAGAGGCTCTAGTCTTGGTGGGATAGAGCCAAATGCTACCCTTGCAAATGACAGGTCCCTGCATCTTTCTGCCAAGAGAAGCTTTGGGGCTTTTTAAGGATGGACAGAGCCCGTAGGGTTGGGTGGGGCCTGTTTAAAGGTATCCTTGGTGCGGTGTCCTATTGTTGCGGCTCGGGAGCGGAGGGGAGGGTGTCACACTTCTGAGGACATTTTTAAGGGGGAGGGACAGAGGGGTTGCAGAGGGTCAAGTGGCCCCAGCCCTAGCAAGTTGCAGAGGTTGGGCGCGGGCAGACGCTCCTGCCCTTTGACCTGGGGCTGGGCAGGGGGTTGTTCAAAGCTGCCGAGAGAGGCGGGGTGGGGTGCGCTCTCTAGTTTTTCCTTCTTTGGGTGGGGGGTGCTCGAAGGCAAGGGACTCGAATGCTGCCTGTCTTTTCAGGAACAAGGCAACGAGAAGACCAACAACGGTACCCACTATAAGTTACAGCTCCTCTACAGCAATGGTGAGCGCCTAGCGCCGGCTGCGGTGCCCCCAAGTTTCTCTTGCTAGGAGGGCGGCTGACCACGTCGCAGTCGCTTGCGGGCAGCCTTCTGGCCTGGGGAGCGCAGGGCTGCGGGAGGCTCGGGCAGGGCCAGGGGCGGGTGGGCGGCCTTTGCTCCAGGACGGCACAGCCGGAGTGCTTGCCCGCAGTCGGGAGCCTGGAGCGGCTGCCCTGGCCTCGGTCCCCACAGCGGGGATGGGTTTGGGTGCCGAGAGCGGCTCCGCGGCCCTTACCTCGTGCCCGCCCCCTCCCCCACAGGCGTCCGCACCGAGCAGGACCTGTACGTCAGGCTCATCGACTCGGTCACCAAGCAGGTGAGCCGGCGGGCCACCCCATCTCCTCTTCTCCCGTGCCCGCCCTGCATCTCCCCCCCTCCCGCCTGCCCCTGACCTCTGCCCACCCCCCACCCCCCACCCCCCAAGGTTTCCTGGGTCAGACTTCACATGCTTCTCCACATCAGCTAGCACCTTGTCCAACCTGGAGAACAATTTTTTTCCCCTCTCTCCTCCCTTGTTCTTCTTCTTTCTGGTTGGGGTTGAGGGTAGGGGGGCAAAGGGGTGAAGAGAGGAGGCAATTGGTAGGAGATCCCGTCCCCCCAAACATTCCCTTTTGCAGGAATACGTCCTCACCAGGGCAAACTTCTCTATTATTCTTTTGCTTGAGTTAAGCAGGCCACAGCTCAGGTTCTGTTTAACTCCTAATGAAGTAGTGGGCAGAGGGGGAAAAAACGATTCTGTGCTTGTTTTAACATCCCCTTTCCTTTGTCTCTCCATTGCCTTCATATCTTCCCTTCCTGCCCCCCGCCAACTCCTTTGCAGCCCATAGCTTATGAGGGACAAAATAAGAATCCAGAAATGTGCCGAGTTCTCCTGACGCACGAAGTGATGTGCAGGTAAGTGTCACGTTTTTCCTGCGGGCTTTGCTGGAAAGCGGGGCAGGGGAGCCACGCCCGCCAGCTTGCGTTCATCCCAGCGTTGACTTTCAGGAGTGGTGGCTCCAGGGGAGGGAGGCCTTGCCCCGGGGGCTGATTTGCTAGAATTCTCCCTTAAAGGCCAGATTCTTAGGGCATATCCGTTAAGACTCCAAAAGGAAACCCAGAACCACTCAGGATTTCAACCCCTGGCATCTCAGGAGTTTCCTCCGTTCCGAGGAAAGTCTCTGTTGTCCAGCGGTTAGTGGCAGAGCGGGGAGGGGCCGGGCAGCCCCTGGCTAAGTTTGGGGTCACAGACTTTCCCTGAATGGGTCTCCACCCGAGGTCTGCCCTGCTAGGTTCCTGCCTGTCCTGCCTGCTCTGGGTAGATTTCCAGGAGGGTCCACTTGTGGAGTACGGGAGTCAAAGCACTGGCAAGACTTGCAGTCTGGGAGAGGGACTACCGGCGGGTGGAACCCACCCTCCCCACCCCCACCCCAACCGCTGCGGCACCTGTCTGTGATGCGGAAGCGTTTCCTTCCTCCGGGGATGTTGCTTCTCCAGTGATTTCCCTTGTCAGGGGAGTTTCAGGGGTCACGAGAAAGTACTGGGTAGAAAGAGCAGTCCGGTTGACCACTAGTGGGAGAGGCGGGGAGAGGACCCCATGGCGGGGGCGGGGGTCCGGAGCAACAATTGGATTCCGAGCATCAAGTTGTGAGAGGTTCAGTCTACTCAGATTCCCTCATTTTCCCGCATCTTCTTTCCGGAGACCAGTCATTCCATTTTGAGTCCTTTCTTCTGCTTGACTAGAAGAGAATTAAAAATTAGAAGAAATTCATCCACGCACTTCATTATTCATCCTTTCAACAAACGTTTGAGTACTGGGGACCCACCACAGCAAAAGAGAAAAGGAAACTCTGGAAAGAGGTGGTTATTTGACTATAAACACTTAAATGTCAAGTCCATACACGTTTTTCTTCCTCCCAAATCTCGGATTGGAGAGAAAGCCTCAGTTCTTCCTTGCTCTGCTGTTGCCCCAGTGAACATCACCAGCTCCAGACTTGCTAGTTTTGGGTAATTGCAGGGCATCTCATTTAGTCTGGACTGTTTTATGGGCAGCTCCCAGCAGCCTCGGCTCCCTCCCAACCCAGTCAGAAAGAAACCATAACAATCAGCCATGTTTGTTTTGGTTTTGACCAAGTATTAGAAAAACAAACTTTGCCAAATGCAAAGTTCATTTCTGCCAGTGGCCTCAGCGGAGCGGAATGGAGCTTCCCTGCCTGAGTAGCTGGGAGAGGCCCATGGGTGAGGGAGTGAGCAGATAGCCACTCCATTATCCCAGGGCCCCTGATAGATTCGTTCAGAAAGGAAATGCAATTCCAAGAAGAGCTTGCATGTAACACCTAGATTAAATAGTTAGAACACTTTGATTGGGTTGGCTAATTGAAGGACTTTTTTTTTTTTTATCCCTCTTTATACTTTTAAATGTCTTTGTTTGGAGAGATTATCTTCTTAAAAGAAAAGAAAACAAACCCCCGAAACTGGCCCATTGTCTGACGAATTATACCTATCACTTTAAATAACATTCGCACGCCCCATCCAGCTGTAGTTAAGGCTGACATTTTTATTTTTAAGCCCAATCAAATCCTCCTCATTTTATGCTGTTTAAGTAACAGCATCAATTTTTAAAGCCTCTAGTTTAGTCTGCATTAGTAACACAATATAAAAATTTAATGTACTGTAACTTCTTTGCATCTGAGACCTGGGAAGACGCTCTGCGATTTTCTTCCCAAAACTAGAATTTAAAACAAATATTAATTATGGGTAAATAAATGATCCATTGGTTGGGTACTGTGTATGGAGTGTGTGTGTGTGTGTGTGTGTATGTGTGTGTTTTGGGAGCTAGCTGGGATGATGGCAAATATTGGATGTATCCAGAGGGGAAGATCTCAATTTGTCAGTCAGAGCTGGCTGATTCTCCAATAAGGGAAAAAGTTCCTTCTCCCACATATTAGGAGCCAGGGAGAGCAGTCCATGATTGAGGGATGAATTAGATGCATGTTCTGAGAGTTTGCGTGGTGTTCTTGAGCATACCTGGGGATTTCCTTGAATGGTTTTATGTTCTGTAAGCCTTAGGAAAAAAAGCTCATAAACTGGCATTGAGTTTTCAGAGGGAACAAAATAAATCTCTTTAGGAATAACTTTTTCTCTCTTCCCCAGTTGTCTCTGCTCCTCTCTTTCCTGCTTTAGTTCCTTTTGCCAATTATTAGCAAGGAGAAATCTAGTTGTTATGTCGCGGCAAGCCACGCCTGTGCCCTCAATGCTCAGAGGGTTAAAAGATATTATAATTTGAACAGAAGTTGTCTCAAGGTCTACAGCTGGCTAATAACAGAGTTGTATTGAGCGCGAGCAAACCCCACAGCTGTGACTTTTCGCCACAAGGCGCAGGCTAGACAGGGCCCTAATCAGATGGGCCAGCCGGGCAGTGAGGCCAGTGTCTTTATCGGCCAGATGGTGTGAATTTAGACACTTTTGTTATGCAATCGCAGGGAGGAGTTGGGGAGAAGAAAACAAAACAAAAGCCACCATGCTGTGCGCTTATTTGAGTTTGAAATTAGAGACAGATTTTTGAAAGTTGAGGGTTGAATTTTAAAAACGATTTTGGAGGGGAAAGGGCACATTCGCTTGTCTTGAGCAGGAGTTTGACTGACTGGACACCCTGTGTCCAGGGCTGGGGCCTTTTTCTTCTCCAGCCATCCCTTATCCCCCCCTTTTTTTATTCCTTTTGGAAAAAGGCAGGTAAGATTCAGGATTGGGATACAATTTTCCATATTTCCCCAGCTTCATCGCCAACTTGGTTTATTTTTTCTCTTTCCCTCTCTAAAGACTCTGTGAGATGGGGAGGACCACAGAGGCCTGTAGTGTTTGAGGGAAAAGGTTGAGAGTGTTTCAGGGAAAAGGTTCTCTGAGTAAGAATTAGAATAAAATAAACCAAACCCAGCCAAACGAAGGAGTGGGGGACCAACCTGCATTTTCATTCATTAGGGAGAAGGAGCTCTTCTGAGCCTCTCGTGATAGGAACACAATCAACCTAGTGCCAAGTTCACTTTCCTCTTCTCTTTGTTTATTTTTCCCCTTTCCTATTTTACAGTCTTGTTCAGTTTTAAAAAAACACTTACCAGGAACTTCCGACCTAGAAACTTGCTTGTTAGAAGATAACCCTATAAAACCTTTTCACTAAAGTAGCTGAACCTGAAGTTGGTCGCAAGGGCTTTGTCTCTACAGCAAAGGGAGAGGAGAATGGAGTTTGTCATCTGAGTAATTCAGGGCCCCAGTCCTTCAGGTCCACCATGCACATATCTGATCCCAGAGTGATTGTTTGGAGACTGTGGGTTCATGAATGTCCTCCACTTTCCACTTCCCTTTGCTTATGTTAATATTACTGGCATGAGGATGGAATGTCATTTAAGAAACCAGATTAAAAAAAAAAAACTAGGACATCTTGATGAGAACTTTTCTTTAAAAAAAAAAAAAAGAAAGAAAGGAAAAGAATTAGTTTTGCCTCACCCAGAAAAATTTTGAGAAGGGCTCAGATGGAGCACATGTAGTCCACTCCTATTATTTTTATACCTTTACTATTTCAGCCCAGTCACCAAGTGAGTGTCTTCTACATCCCTTCTGTGCTATTAACATTAAAGACTGTACTTAAATATGTTACCGTTGGAACATGGAAGATTGGGTCCTAAAGTTTCTCTGCATTTTTCATTGAATAGTGTTTCCTTCCCTGATGAGATTCTCCACATTGTATTACACTGGCACCAGGCTTACATTTTTATCTGTTTTTCTTTTCTTTGGGAGAAAATCCCCATGGAAAGCAACTGAATTCAGCTGAGCAATTTTGCAAACTTACTCGGCCTCTTCAGAATCATTCCTTCTCAAACTAAACAGATTGGCACATCCTGACAGTCTATGTTCTCGTAATTAAATTGTACCAGCATCACACACATATTTGGGTTAGGCTGACATACTGCTGAGGTCAGAGGGGAGTCTAGCTAGAAGGTCTTTAGGTAACAAGCATGCCTGGGCTTTTGAAATTGTGTCGCTAAGGAAAAAAGGTTTGCCTGAGCCGCATAGGTATTCTGCTGACATCAGCAACGGAAATAGGGAGAGGTGGGAGAGGGAAGTGGGTGGTGGTAGGGAGTTGGGGAGAGAGACAAGGGCTTTGGGAGGCGGGAATGCAGCTGGCCAGCATTTTTATTGGTGTTAATCTTGGGATGGATTGAAATTTTAAAAGTTAAGACCCAATATAATTTCAAAGGCAAAATATTATTTCAGAAAGTCCCCAGTGGCCAACTCTGGTATTTAAGAATGTTGAGACAATTTTTCTTTTACTTCCTACTAATTTGATTAAATTTCTTAAAACCTCCTAGCGCTCATTTGGTGAAACTTGTTTAGCACCTCTCCAGTATATCTTGCTCTTTGAGAAAGGTAGAATGAATGGGTCGCCGGGTAATTCCACGCATCCCTGTAGGAGCGAAGATGAACTTTAAAAGTTTTACAAAGACTCCTTTATTCGTTTGTTTGTTTTTAATTCTGTGGAGGACCAGAGAGGACAAGTGGAGGGGAGAGAGCCACAAAGCAAATCTGTGTCTGGGCTGGTAGTAGGCCTAGGAGTCCCTGCTGCCTCATGGCCTCCCTCTTCTCCTCCTTCAGTCGTCACTTCCGAAGAGGGCTCGGGGATCTCATTGCCTCACAGGCTTCCTAAACCAAGAAGGGGCTCCGGAGTTAATCTCGTCCCGTATTTTAATTTTATATATCAGGTTGGCAAAGCCCAGAAGGGTTAAACAGATTTGACTACATTCCCGCAGCTGCTTGGTGGCAACGTCTGATAGGAGGCCAGAGACCCGATTCTCACTTTAGCCATCCTTCCATTGTGTTGCTTCACTCTCAAACTTAAACAGATCGTGGAAAGGGCAGTGCTGACATCTAGTTGGCTTACTGCTAGTGTTTGTGTGGCATAGTCTCCGACCAGTGTGGATAGTCATGTTTTGTTGTTGTTGTTTTTTTCTATGCCATGTCAAGGCTATATTCTTAAGCAACTACCATTGACGGTAGACCATGTGCTTGAATGAGCCAAGAGGTATTCAGGAGCTTGCAGTGCCGGTGGCAGTGGGCAGCAAAAAGGCGACGTGATTTTCCAGTGCTTCCCCACCACCCATCTTCCTTTGCTTTTGTCACATCTGTCTAGGTCTTTCATACAGACACCTTTGGATTGGAGCATTTTGCTCTGCTCAGGTCTGACTGAGTCCTTCCTATCTGCTGTGATTGCTGTAGGGCTTCTTCTTTTCTCTCTCCCTCCCAGATAATTTCACAAGCCTTTCTCCAGCATCTACCAGGTACCCAGCACTTCGCTAGGTGGAAGTCTTGGGAGGCAGCATCTTCAAGATGGGACTTACAGAGGAAGTCCCATTTCTGGTCTGGACTTGGTGAAAATCATGGGAGAGATCATTTTACAGCTCTCTGCCTCATTTTCTCCCTATTTTACAATATATACCATGGTTCTGGTCTTCTTCCTTCATCTTTAGAAAATGACAGAAATGGATAAATAACTAAATGTTTATAAAGTACACTGAGTTCTCTGGAAAGATGTTATTAGTACCTAAGGTTGATAAAGCCAGGCAGCTACTCTGGGTCTATTTTATGCCTTTTCCTTTCCCTTCTTTCTTCAAATATTTATTAAGATGCAAAGATCTAAAAGATACAACCCTACAATCATTCAACATGGAACTGGAAGTGACCTTATAGATTTAAAAATCCAAAGCCCGTGGTTCAGAATACAAATATGGCTCCTGGGAAAGTTGTGATTTGCTGAGAATGACCCAGTTATAAGCCATAGAGTGAGAATTTGAGAGAGTATCTTTGGGCTTCGGGTTCAGCGTTGTTTTTAAACATGGCCATAAATCCTGCGCTTGAGCAACTGAATGCTAAGAAGCTACCTAGGACATTTTTGTGAATGTTTCTACGTTGCATGCTCCTTTTCTTTTCTTGATTTTAACAAATTTCTTTTACTCTCTTGGTTCCTTCCCAATCTTTAGTCGATGTTGTGAGAAGAAAAGTTGTGGGAACCGAAACGAGACTCCTTCAGACCCCGTCATCATCGACAGGTAGGGGGAGAAAGTGATTGAAACAATCATTCCTGGTTTCTTTCCTTTATGAATCTCCATGCTGAGTACTGATCGCTTGGGATTTGCCATAAGGTTTCATGCTATCTTCAAGGCAGAGCTAGTCCAACATGTGTTTTCTTGTTGTGGTTGGCCTTTCTTGGAAGAAATTAGAACCTTACTTTCTGAACATGTGTCTCTAAATCTATGATGAGATTCTTTTTCAGGTGCATTGATGTCAACCTAATGAGGAGTATGTGGATGGTAGAGGATGCCAGCTCTCCTATCTGGCAGAGCTGGGTCTCAGTAAGTCTCTTGGAAGAGGCAGTGTACCCCAAGTTAAGCGGCAACCCCTTTATCATTTTCAGTGATTGCTGTTGGCTTTGAAGACTATCAATTTAGGTTACAGTTTAGGGGATTATGACAAGCTCTCTCTTACACTGAGGGAGATTCCGTTCTACCACAGAGCATTGCATTCTGGGTCTTATGTTATATTCAGAGTGCACAAAATTCTCTGGGACAAGATGCTAATTCACTGAAATGTGATTTAGGCATCCTCAGCTGTCTGTTTTTGTGATTGGAAACAGAACTTACAAACCAACGAAGAAATACCAAATTAACTTCCAGCAATCATGTAATTTTTAAGAAATCCCCTATTCCCACCCCTAATTTTTTCTCTTTCGTTAAAAAACGGAATAATTCCCCATTGCTTCTTTCTTTGGGTTTTCGTGTTTCTAGCCAGGTCCTGAAATGGATTGGAGAGACCACAGTCTCCAAAGTTGTTATTCCGATCTTCCAATGAATTCTCAGTTGGGAGAATGGAACCTCTGGCATTCTTCCCAGAAAGCCAGCTTGGTTTCTTTGTGGAAAGTATAGCATAGCCCTAGGAACGAGGAGGCTGGAATCCTGATCCTGTCCTCGCTCCTGACCTTGGACAAAGCACTCAGCATCTCTGCTCTTCAGAGGTACGACTGGAGGGTACTGCCTGCCATTCTAGGTTTCAGGAGGCTCCAGAAGTATCTATCCGTGGCAGTTTTGCAGTCTTCTCTGAGATGCTTGGAAGAGGTTAATAACCAAATGTAAAACGTTTGTTGGGTGTGTGGGGCAACTTTGCCATTGTAGAAAGTTCAGGTGAAACCCATTTTAGGGAGCTGTTTGGAATTTCCTTTTTGGTTTTGGTTTTTCTTTTTTTTCTGAAAGTGCATAGAAGCTCACAATGGAAGAGTTGTGAGAACTCTCTAGAGTCAGCCATCTTCCTCATTTGACAGATGGAAGACTGGCCTGGGAATGCTGACATGACTTGCCCACGATTGCACAGCTGGGTGGAACAGAGCTGGCCCTAGAACACAGCCCTCTGTCCTTCTAAGCTTGTGCTCCTGTCACTGCCACAGCCTCCCTCTCCCGGCACTGTCTGTCCTGACTTACGTGACTTGGATGTGTTGATTGCATGTGGCCCCATTTCCCAACTTGCCAGGATGCCCTCAGGATCCCCTGGGGGAATTTCAAGCATATGAGAACAGGCTAGATGCAGACCCAGTCCTTTCCGGCGTGCACACTGACCTCACCAATCATCTCTTCTCCACACACCTTTGCTCACCTTTCAAGATGGTCCTCCATCCTCATGACTAGTACCTCTTCTCTTGTCGTAAATGCCCCACAAACCAGCTTTTGAAATGGTTGCAAACCTACAAATGCCAAGCCGCATCTTACATCTCATCGGCACACATCCTAATGACTCCGTGCAGAGCAGTTCTTACTTTAAGAACTCATATAGCCTGCACCTGCGGATAAAGCCAAACATATTTGTATTTTCGTCCTCTGTGATATACAGTTATGTGTACAAAAGACAGCAGTCTTTCTGCATCCACAGAGAGAGAAGATTTTCAAATTAGGTATTTTCACTGTTTGTGCTAGGATGCCTTACATTTTTCTCAGAAGGCGGACATTGTATCTTGGCTGCATATTACAGAACTTTATGTGGCTATGGCATTTATTTTTTTACTATCATTTGCACAATAAAACAGCCCAGTGATGTCTCTGCATCACTTGAAATATGTGTTACTTTCAAAATGTTGCACATCTACACATGGAAATGTACGTACCCAAGGGTACAGGTAAATTGGCCATCATCAGGGTTTTAGAGAACCCATTTTATTATAAACAGATGCATTTGTTCTGCTTACTCACTGTAAGGCTTTTGTTTGCAGACATTGTTCCCTCTGGTCTTATTGCTCCTGGATATCTTTGGGGCTTACCTTCGCCTCCTTCCCTTCATTGTGGAAGTAATGGGAGATAAAGCCAGGTTGCCATTTGTTGGAAGTGGGATGAGTGGTTTTTGTCATCCAGGGGTTTGGTTGAGTTGTGCATCCAGTTCAACGTCTGTCAACTTGGAGATGTTGAGATCCCCCATGAGCACCAAATGGGTGCAAAGTAGTCTATTTTGGATTTCCTCTGAGTAAATATAGAACTCTCTTCTTTGCCCTTGTTCCTATAATGCCAACTAATTATCTCCTCCCCTTGCTCGCTCAATCTAACCAGATGCAGTTAATTTACACTGTCTCTCTTTGAGTTTTCTCACACAACAGGCACGCTCCACTCTGGCTCCAGGGAAGCCTATTTATTCCCTTGCAATTGTGCATGTTCAGGGGAAGGGATGGGGGGGGGCTCAAGGGTGGTTCCCAAACTTTTCACCACAAAGGACCCCTTCTATTGTTTCCCTTGGCTAACCCAGCGTTTTGTAAGATTTTGCCTTCTAAACTGCAATTAACCAGTAATCATTCAGCTGTAATTCCATTTTTATTAATCAAAGACATACAACAGAATGGGAAGGAAAAACCTCATTCCAGAAATGCCCTTGATCTCATCAGTGGCCAATCAGAGGTTTTGACTGGGATGAGACAACCAGTGTTATACCACACTGACTCGATAAGACTTCCAGCTCAAACACAAAACAACTTGACTTTTCACTTAGTCCATGTGACCACATCCTGGGCAGATACTCAGTTTCCAATAAGCTGCTTGAAATATGAAAAATAGCTTTTACTACCTTGTGGCCCCTTCACTGAGAATCACTGGATTTTATAATAGGGCATCCCCCATTAGAGATTTGGTTCTTCATTTCCTAAGACTTAGCCCCAGACCAGGTTTTTTTTTTTTTCCTACTAAATTATTCCCTGCCTTGATTTTTTTTAGAAGCTTAAATTTAATTTTCATCCTCAGCTGTCTTTTCAGTATGGTTTTGTGAATTCTTGGGCAGCCACACCCCTCTCTAAAAAGCCAGGCCAGCACACAGCCCAGCAGGATTTACTGCTGAATCATGGGTCCCCAGCAGAGCCTTCTTTCTGTGTACAAATGTGTGCACATGTAGAGTGGCAGTAGGGTTTATCAATTTTTAGTCTGAAGATCCAAAGTTCCTATTTGAAAGAAAAAAAACCCCAGCAGAACAAAACAAAACAAAACAAAACCAACAATGAAACCATAATCCTTACTTCAGTCTTTGGCCTAAATCTTGTCTATAAAGATCTGTGTGTGGTAAATAAAAATAAAAAGGCTCAAGTCTGATTTACATTTTGTGGTTTCAGAGCTAATCCAATCTTGTTTTTTCTGGGCTGTATTCTTTTCAGACTCTCTTCTCTGTCTGGAAGCCTCTTCTAACTATCTATCAAATCTCTGGGGCTCTCAGGATAATCTGGTGGTCCACGGGAAGAGTATTTTAGGGACAGTTTCACCGATGTAGGAGAGTGAAAAAGAGTCTTTACTATTCCAGTTCTTGTAGCCCATAAAAAGTCAGATGGGTAGTGAGGGCAAGAATTCTTTTTGAGTCTTTGTAGGCTGTCTGTGCCCATGTGCATGTGCATAATGGTGCGATATTTTCTCTTAAAAGGGCAGATCAGCCTATGTTTCACATGCTAAGTATCTCCATCTTTGGTCTTGGGATATTGGTTTCCATATTTCCGAACTCTGTTTCCAGGAGGACCATTTTCTGTATTGATGTAGTTTTATTAAATAAATTTTTAGTTGTGGAAAAATACACTCAACATAAAATTGATCATCTTAACCATTTTTAACTATGCAGTTCAGTGGTTTAGGTACATTCATATGGTTGTGCAGTGAGCACCACCATGCATCTACAGAACTCTTTTATCTTGCAAAACTGAAACTCTGTCCCTATTGAGCCCTAACTCTCCACTCTTCTCCCACCCCCAGCTCCTGGCGGCCCCCATTCTACTTTCTGTTTCTATGAGCTTAACTACTCTGGGGGCCTCGCGTAAGCAGAATCATACTGTATTTGTCCTTTTGTGACTGGCTTATTTCACTTAGCATAATGTCCTCAAGCTTCTTTTGTGTTGTAGCATGTGTCAAAATTTGCCTTCCTTTTTAAAGCTGAATAATATTCCATTTTGAGTATATCATATTTGTTTATCTACTCATCTGTTGATGGACCCTTGGGTTGCGTCAGTCTTTGAGCTATTTGTGAACAAGCTGCTATGAACATGGGTGTACAAAGTCTCTTTGAGTCGCTGTTTTCCCTTCTTTTGGTTATATACCTGGAAGTGGAATTGCTGGGCCATATGATAATTTGAGGAATGGCCAAACCATTTCTATAGCAGCTACCTTATTTTATGTTCCCACCAACCATGCACAAAGGGCTCAATTTCTTCACACCCCCACATTATGTGATACTTTCTTTCTCACTCTCTTCTTTCTTTCTTTCAAGATTTATTTATTTATTTATTTATTTGAGAGAGAGAGCTCGAGAGCACGTGTGTGGGAACAGGGGGAAGAACAGAGGGGAGGGAGAGGGAGGGAAAGAATTTTAAGCAGACTCCCGGCTGAGCACAGAGCCTGATACAGGGCTTGATCCCACCACCCTGAGATCATGACCTGAGCTGAAACCAAGAGTTGGATCCTGAACTGACTGAGCCACCCAGGCACACCTCTTTTTTTTTTTTTTAATAGTTGTAATCCCAAGTTTTTTTCCTGTTGTCATCTTGGTAGGCATC